GGATTCCTTCGGTACTGTGTCTCTTCAGAGAATCTTTGTGTACCACTGTTTTGACTTTGTGTCGAATGAGCGGTTGCTAGAGGAGTCCTGAGTCCCGAATGAGGCACATTACCTGCATTGTGAGGGAACACCAGTTACGGCACTACGGCCGTGTGGCGCGTTTCCCTGAGGGAGATCCGGCTCGCAGGATCCTCATTGCTGAGGACCCAAGCGGCTGGAACAGGCCAAGGGGACACCCACGAAACACCTGGCTGCGGCAGATGGACGGCCATTTCCACAGGGTGGGACTGGACCGTGTATCTGCCTGGGGGATTTTGCTGTGTGGTGGGAACGGCAATGCTCTGCATCAGCGCTGCTCCTCAACTAAACCTGACCTGACCTTTATTGAAACTTTGATCCGAGTTTTATCTCAATCTGACTATCAGCGGAGCTGTGGTTTTTTCCCCTTTAACTGGACACACTGTTCCAACGATTAGGAAAAGATTTTGAACTTTAAAGAGTAAATTGATCACTCCACTGAGCGATTTAACTTCAAGCAGGCCCTGACGTACAGGTTCTAATCCCCCTCCTCGGCCTCGTCATGGAAACCGCCGATCACTCGCCTCTCTGTTTTCACCGGACCGTGGTATCTGTTCGTTTTCCGGCTGGCCCAGTTAAAACATGACACCTTATGTTAGCCAGTGTTGCATGGCGACATGCCGTGCTGGAGAGTGGGGGTGCCATAACGGGGGGAGAAATTTAGGATGATTGACGGGGGGCCTAAAAAATTTCAAACATAATTGGATCGATCCAGGTTGGGGACCTAATACAGTTGGATATGCTTTCCTGGGGCCCAGCGGCACCCCTGATGGAGTGCGAATGGTCTATTCCAACCATGGGTGTGTTCAACAATCCTTCAACCCCTGCCTCTCTCCCCCTACCGCTGCCCTTTGTTGCCATGTAACATTTGCCTCGTCCTGCTCTGATCACACTCACAGGCTCATCTGATCTGAGTCATAATATTTCAGCAACAAGCACAAGGGAGAAAAAGGGTGCCATGTTTGTCCTCCCTGTCGTCACGCCATGCTCCTCTCCGCCTGACCTTTCCCTGCCCGCGTGTTGCCCGTGTCGACACCGGGCCCATCGCGTGACGACGGACACGGGTCCTTGGCCCTGGGAGCGATGTTATTTGAAGCGACGGTTCAGCTCGTTTAAAAATAAAATAGGAGAAAAAAAAACACAAACTATTTCTCCAGTGTGACAGGACGGAGGGGTCACAGGGTCACCGTGACGTCCACATGTACCCGGGGGCATGTTCATTCCTGCAGAAGGTGAGGGAAGGACACCAAGCCATTGAGTATGTAACAGTCAGGCTTTCAGGCTTGATAACATTAAGTGAAAGAAGCAGGTGAACCTTTTGGGCCGCAAATGGCCGACAGGTTGGCTCGTTCGGTGCCGCCGTGGCCCCATACTGCCCGAGCCTAGGGCTCGATTCTTACTCTTTGCGTTTGGTTTTTATGTTCTCCCAGTATCTGCAGTGGTTTCCTCTAGGTATTCGTACATGGTATCATAGATTTGAGAGACAAAAGGGGCAGGCACTGGTAGAATGAAAGTGACTTTATTAAATCTAAACTAAACAGGGACTGGGAAACAAACAGGACCATGAGGGATAAAAACAGTAATACTGGTAAAAGGAAGGGCACAGGCAACAGGAAGTTAGACCCAAAGGACCAGACTGGGGATGATGAATCAAACTGGGACAAAGTCTAATGTGGGGTAAGAAGCAACAGGCTCATCAGGGCCACGTCAGGGAGAAGACAGGAGATTCAGGCAGACATGACAGGCAGGACTTAACACAAGAAGGCAGTGAGAACATTCATCCGTTGTACAACCCACTGAGCAGTTATATTTATTTCACAGCCATTACTACAGAACTCCATGCAACACTTCCCCTGATATTCCTTGCACTGTAACTGTTTTTAATTCATTTATTGTTACTGTCCATTAATGTGTAAATGTATTTTTTACTGTTTAAATGTGTGCTGTGCTACTGTAAACCTGCAATTTCTCTCTGTCCATCTACCTGTCTGTCTGTCTGTCTACCTCTCATCTAACAAACAAACTCCACACACTCCAAACCAAGGGTGGGACTCGAAATAACACTCCTGAGGGGACAGCGCCAAGCCAGTGCCCCGGGTTCAATAATGTGTCTAAAATCTGATAACACCAGTTCGACGACAGCATCAGCTGCCTCTTCATTTTCTTCCTCACATATGTATGAATAAAGAAGAAATTTCCACAGATACCAGGTTTCATTACAGATTTCTTAATAGATGCTGACTTTAATAGCTGGATTCATTATGTGTGATGTAGCTGTTGCTATGATAATACTGCCTCCTCAATCGGCTGTCAGATCTGATGATGGGGGCTGCGTTCGGCTGTAAGATCTCAGCGGAGGAAAGCCGACGAAGGCAAAGCGCCAAGCTCAGACCCCCATCGGCAGGGCTGCGAAGCAGCCAGAGCGAATCTGAGCATGAGTTAGAGAACGTGCTCCGTTATGAGTCATCGGGTTTCATTTTGCAATTAAAAAAAATGCTGAAAACAGGGAAGTTTGTGAGGAAAGGGAGAGGGGAATGTCGCTGCGATGTATTACAGCAGTGAGAATTTGTGAAGGGCAGTGTGAACAGGACTAATAGAGGATGGTTTTTTTTTTGCCTTCCAGAGGCATTTATGCAATATCACTTTACATAGCTGGTTTATTGCTGGCTTATTAAGCTTTATTCTCACTGGTCATGTACAAAGTCGGCCTGTCTCTTGTCTCAGTGGAAGCTGCAGCCTCTTGGTCAAAAGCCTTATTCCTTAAGTGAACCATCCATCCATCTTACATTGCATAAGCACTTATCCAGTTTTCCTCACAGAATGTGTGTACACCTCTTCTCTCATCCAGTTTTCCTCACAGAGTGTGTGAACACCTCTTCTCTTATCCAGTTTTCCTCACAGAATATGTGGTTGCAGTGACTCTCCTCATATCCCAGGAAGCCCAGGTGGGTCGAAAAATGAGCATCTCACTTAATTCTGTGCCTCTCATCACTAACATTTCTGCAAAAAAACGACCTTAATTCTATGTGGAAACTATGAAAACGTATGGAACATGTATGCCCTTGAAATATATAAGCAATTCATATGTGCTTTAACTTTTACATTCTGAGCTTCACTTGTGGCAAAACTCTGTTGTATGGAGGGGGGGGGCATTCAGTGTACGAAGGCAACTTTTTTTTAGTTTAAGATGTTAACTGTAATCAAACACAGCTACAACGGATGCTTTACACGTGTAACCAAAAGGGCAGCTGTTTGTAATGGAGGCACACAGGCTGTGTAGGTACACCTGACACCCCAGTGTGAGAGTAATATACCTTTAAAGGGATCTGGGCCTCACGCAGAGATGACCGGCAGGATATGGTCCAGGGATTACTGCAGTCCTGCTGGGAAGATAAAGGGGTGGCTGCTGCAGCTCTGCTGTTCAGTGTTCCTAAAAGCCCTCTCTCTCTCCCTGGTATTTTAGTAGAGAGCCATTGACATGAGCCACATGGGATGAAGCAGCCAGTATTTTCGCATCGACCGGCAGCCGCATCCGGGAAGCGCTTTGTGGGACTTTTCAGCATAAGCCCCCGTGTTCCTGTGTGACGCAGTAGCTGATTATGTGAACCATAATGAAAGGGAAAAGGAGACATTTGTTTAATTTGAGGGCCACTAGCCTGGGATGGAGGGCATGTATACGAGTCATGTGACCCAGGGTCTTGACTGCTATAAGTAGGTTTTGTTGAAAGTGTTTCTCTTTTCTGGGAGAGATTAGGATGGACCCATCCATGGCCCAAAATGACACAAATATAGACACAATACCAAACAATGGAGTGACAGGACTGAGGCGACTGGGATAAAGAGGGAATTAAATCAGCAAAGTGGAGATTATAGGTCTTGGGGCTGGTGTGAGCACTGAACAGAAGAGAGAAGTATATGGGAATTGGGGAGATCAAGGGAGCAGGAAACTGATCAACACAGGAAAACCTAATTCCGTCTCCCAGCGTGACGGTACAGCCAGACATAAACTGGTCAGATTGAAAAGGGGCGGGGCAAGGTCAGGTGATGAGCTCCTGACCCTTGACCCCACCATCAGCTGGAGATTCTGCGATCTGACGCCTGTTTTAGATTTTGCGCATCTGTTCTTGTCCGGCCCCCTTTGTTTTGATTTCTCGCCGCCCACCTCTGCTTCCGCTGCCCAGTATAGTACCCAGTCCTTCATCTGTGGTGCTGTTTTGCAGTTTATTTTCGTTCACATTGATGCTGAATCTTTTGAGATTGCTTATGTTCACATTTCTTCTGAAAAACAAACCTGACCTGATTATGCTATCTATCCAAGACTAATACCACGAGTAAACTAAATGGCGATCACAGTTGTGCACTTTATCATAGTGGTAAAACGCAATGTGACACTTAATCTCTTTAGACCTTTACTATTCTCTGCCACCCGGTGTTAACTCATAGACAATAGTCTGGTGAAGGTATCTTACAGTTGACAGTGCTCCTTATCTAGTTTAATCAAGAGTCTCGTTAGAGCTCCCTCTGCTGGTGACAAACATATGTCAGCCAAGATCGCGGTAGCCACTCGTGAACGAGGGTGAAAGAGCATTCATTGCGCAAAGTACCGTGCACCTGCTATTAAGCAGTATATCATTATAAATATTCGGGACTCTGATCCAAAACTACTAACTCCTTTGGAATATAATTATATAATTACCATAATTATGCACGAAATGCACACAAGTTGAAATGACGTGTGCGTGCTTTCAACGTGACTGGCACTGTTGCTTAACTGGACCAAAAACAAATAGTAATTCTCAGGTATTTGGCACTCACAAAACGGCACAAATTTTATTGTCTACATCGTTTTCAACAGTGTTCCTGAGTGAATAGAAGCACATTGTTACAATCCAAAAGTAGAGTTGTTATTTATTTATTTATTTCCAAACCAAGCACATAATGAAAAATTACTACAGTGGACATCAACACAGGCAGCACTAAAGGGGACGATATAAGAAACACCTGATACAAGTATCCGACATTCCAAGATATTTCAAAGATTCTTTTTTTTCATAGACATGCTGTTGTGATATCAGTTATAGGCACTTTTGTGAGTTTTTTTCCTCGAAACCCATCTTTGGTCAAGTTTCGGGCAGTTGCTGTTGCTTCCCGGCAATTCTGTCCTTAGGCCTGGGTAGGACCTGATCCTGGACCTGACAGCGTTTCACTTCGGCAAAGGAGCAGCATTACTTCTTTGACTCCAGCCCCACCTCCGGCGTTCTCACGGCGACCGACGAAGCCCCGCCGCTGAAAACGGCCGGACCCAGATACTCACCACAGTGATAATCATTTTCCTGGCAGCGATCGGATCTCACGAAGGAGATTAACAAACAAGCACAGAGACAAGGAGAGCGAGACTCTGAAGGGGGCGTGCACATCAGAACACAACAGCAAGGCGAAACTTCACAGAACGAACTACTTACATCTTTACAATAACCCATAAAAATCAGACCTTACATCCAGTCCCTGCTGCAGACCCTTAGACTACTGACTGAACGACCAATGTCACTATACTTTGTATTCACGATCAACATCTTGACCTTTTATATATTGCACATATATACACTTCTAAAACAAGAAGTGTGTGCGTGCATGTTTACGCGTGCATGCGCACACGTGAACGTGATTTTGGCACAGTCTGAAAGTCTTTAAAACCTAGATGGATTGTTTTTTTTTTGCTTGGTTACAAAAATTGGCATTTTTACGCCTGTGGGTGGAATGTGTGGCAAAGGGGATGCACACGTCTCGTCGAGCTCCTTTGAGAGTGAACAATAAACCGTAGGTCATATTAATTCGTCAGGACTCATTATATTTCATTATATAAACTGAACAATGTGCATCATCGATACACAAAGGACACCTACACAGTGCATTAAAAACAGGGTACTCAATTATAACGTGCTTTTCATCAGACTTTTTTTCTGGAAAAAAATGTGAAATTGCCAAGAATGGTTTTTTTTTCCCTCAGAAATATTTTTATTGAAATCTGACCCCGGCTTTAAAAATAATAATAATAAATAAATAAATTTGGCATGTCGCACATCCTAGTCACCATGTTTCATACGGATACTTTCTGGCAAAACAGATGCAAAACAAACGAAGATTGCGCAAACGTAGCACAAGACTACCTTCGGGTTTGCTGTAAATCGCACGCGTTTTTAAAAGTTTCATAAGATTCTATCGCCTACTAGCAATGGATACAGAAATACAGTGAAAGTCACCATTAAATCACTTTAAAGTGTAAAAGATTTTTCTGTTGAAATAAATCAGTGTTTGTATTTTTCTATATAGGTGAACGACCAAGTGCGATAATTAAAATCAATAGCCAGTCCACCTGCGGTACACGGGAAATGTGCAGCCAGTGTCATTGTAACTAACTCTTCCCACATGAATCTTCACTTTCATGCCATCATTGGCATTTACATAGCTGGTGGGTTCTTAGTCTGCAAATAACAGCGAGGGACATGGGAGTCGTTAGGTCCGGTCAATCAGGGCTATAGCCCCGAGTATCTTAAGTCTAGGCCTGGGTGTCTTAGCCCCGATGTCAATTTTCCTTCAAAAAAAAAAGCCCCAGATGAACTTGCCTTAGCCCCTGATCTTTTCGATAGATAGAAACTCCCTGGCGAGGGACACAAAGTTTACTCTGTTTAAAGGGGCTGTAATAGTGACCTTCAAGTTCATCTCTTAAGCTAATTGCCGCAACTGTGTATTTTTTTCATGGAAGAGTCATTGTGCAGTAATTTCAGTTCTTATTACCATTGTTTTTTTTTTCCATTTTTTTCTTCTAATTTCTACAGCAGGATATTTATAAATGTGGCAGAAGGAGCAGTCTCTTGACTTCTGGATCTATCAGAACATTTCCCAAGTGCTTGACAGAAATTCTGCAGATTGGATTGAAACGGTCCTGTGCCTCGTCACAATGTTTTACGCTCCAGCGCTGAAGTGGATCTAACCTGCGGTGACTGAATGAAAGGAAAATAGTGGGTGTTTGTTCGAGAAGACCCTCTCTACAGCTACACACCTCGCTATTCGGCAAGCCCCAAGTTCATCCACACCTGTGGTCATCAACCCCGACTCCCCACTGTTAGCTCCCTCTCTCCACCCACGAGCCCAACGCCTCCCTCCCTCCTGGCTACAGACACACGTTGCCTGTGACGGCCAGGGGACACGTTTGGGACGTGTTTGTCTAGAGTGGTGTGTTGGGTCTAGTTTGACTTTAAAACGGTCGTCAGCGGTGCTTTCCCCATGAGCGATGCTTCAGAAGCCGATGGGGTCTCTCAGATGTCGATTTTTGTTTCCGGCATTTAGACCCAAAATCAGCCCCGGGTGGTTCGAGCACTTGTGCACTTTATCGGACAATTCTTTAGTTTGGTTTTTGGGGCTGATCTCTCTCATGCTTAGCATTATGTTTCTTTTTTTTTTTTTAACACAGTGGCTGCTTTTGTCTGCTGTTCATGTACTAGACTAAGCCAGTCTCTATGTGCATGTGCATTGGGTAAGGGTGGTAAATGAGTGGTGGCTGGCCATGGGCGATGTAGTAGTTGCTGAAGTTGTGGTCAGCCATATATGGCGCGGGCTGGTAGTAGCATGTGACGTTGGTGGTGTTAGGGATGATATTCTGCTCCCCGAGAACCTTGAGGGCCAGGATGGTAATCATGTTGAGGGTCTGTCGGCGCTCATGGCCCATCAGACACACGGTGCTTTCATTGACTACCCTCCGCAGAGTCATCAGGTAGTCGTACTTGCTCTTCTCCTCGCCAATGAAGTGGTTGCGCAAGTACGACTCGATCTTGCGTTGCTGCTCGTTGACGTCGGGGAAGTCGATGAAGAAGCGTGAGCACATGTAGCGCTCCAGGGTCTTGATCTCGGTCTCGCTGGCTGGCTTGAACTCACGCACCAGCAGGTTGCTGTACTTCAGGAGGCCACCACCCCTGATCTCCTCCGGGTTGCGTGTGGCTATGAGACGGTAGCGCAGATGGTCCATGGCTTGTTCAAAGTCACCGTACATGCTCTCTGCTACCACTGTAATGTCGGGCAGTTCTCTAAGTGGCGAGGACTCGGTTGGCTGACTTTCTGGTTTGTCTCCGACCTGCGTGTCTGTATCTGGGGCAAATTGTTGTTCCTGGAAAGCAGGTTCTGGTAACTTACAAATAGGCTCTGACATGAGGGCAGCAGGACATGTTACCTGGGAAGCAAACACTGCTACCTGTGGTGTTAAATCTACTAATGGATCAGCATGTTTTGTTCCTTCTGTAGAAGACTGCATTTCCAGGGCTTCGAGCTCTGTTCCCAGGACTGCCTGTTGTAGTTCCTGGATACCAGGTTCTGGGACCTGGACAGCAAAATCAAGCACCTGAACAGGATGTTCTGGTACCTGGACGATCACCTCTGAAACCTGGACAGCAGAGTCTACTACTGAGCAAGTAGAATAAGGAACTCGAACAGGAGGTTCAGGTAAATGACAAGACGGTGATGGTTCATCTTTAAAAGGGTTTTGAATGAGAAGGTCCTTGTCCTTTTTATCAAGCTCCGTGACCTCTGATTCTGCACCAGGAGGAAATAATTCATGATCTGAGGTTTTTGATTCATTTGGTTGAGAGCATGTTGTCTTTTTCTGTGACTCTGTGTCACTCTCCTGGGTGGTGAGTTTGTCGGCTGTGGTTGGCATGTCTGATTTTTTCTCTGAACATTCTTTGCCCTGTGAGGTGATGTCAGGAGCCTGTGAGCAAACAGGGTTTGGCACTTTATCTGGAATAGGTATTGATTCTTTGAGGTTTATTTTAGCCGAAGCTAATGGCTGCTCCAGAAGGAATGGGGGCTCATTTTCTGAAGGTGTTTGTGCAAGAGGGATTGGCACGCTTGTCACTTTCTTGGACATTTTCCTTGGAGGTTTTGGTGATGAATGTTTTAGGATGACCATTTGGGATTTTTTGTAGGACTTTTTGGCTGGAGGAGGCAAAGGGAATTCCATGTAAGAGTCTAGTGCTGTCTGTGTGAGACATGTGCAGGACTGAAATGTAGGTTCGCAGGGTACATTAAGAGCCACGGGATCCTTGATTGATGTTTTTTCAGTTGGTTGTGGCTTCTCTGAGTTTTCTGGTTCCGCTTCATTTTCTGTGATAAACATTTCTTCAGATGTTTTCGGATATTGTCCCTTTGTTTCGGTGCTGGGAGTGCCAACCTCGTTTTCTGCCATTATTTTATCTTCAATCTCTGTCTTTTCCAGCAGCTCTTGTTCATTTTCTGTCGGCGTCTCTCCATCTGGTTCAATAACTTCCATTTGTTCAGGGGGATCCATCACCTCAGCTGCAGCGCCTTCCATCGGTAATGGCCACTCCCCATCTTGTGTCACTTCCTGTTTCTCATTGCATTGACTGTCATCACAGCTTGGTATGTCCTCTACCTTATCTGGCTGGACTTGACTTGATTGAGTCATATCAGATGAAGTAGGGTGAGACTCTTCTGCCAGTGAGGTGACTTGATTGCCACTCTCAGTCGTACACGGTCTCCTCTCCTCATTCTTACACCGGGCCTCCTGCCTTCTCTCAGCCTCCAGATAAGACTCAAGCATGCGATCCAGGATGATCTGAAATGAGTCCACACTGAACTCAAACTGCCTACGCAAGGAGCTGACAAACTTCAGCTCCACGTTCTTGCCGCTATTGTTGGAAAGCGAAATGAGGCTCCAACGGTCATGCTCGTTGAAGACTTTGACCATCTTCTGAACATAAGCTTCCTTCATGGTCAGGGCTGTGATCTTGTCCTTGTTGACGCCTCGGGGTAGGAAATCTAGCAGACAGCCAAGCACCACCTCCTTGATGATCTGGAAATCCTCCTGTCTTGGCAGCTCAACCCCAAAGATGATGTCTAGGTCCTTGTAACTGGTGCCATTCTCCTTAACAAGCACATGGCTGGCAGTAGAGCCATTGAGGCGAACATCCCTCACTTTAATATGTTTCTCCTTCAGCTTGTCCCTCACCACGTGGATGATGTCTTTTGGCTTTACCTCAAGCGTGGGAAAATTGCCTCTTCCGTGTATGGGAATGACCTCTGTCAGAACCTGGTCTAAGGTCTGGATCTGTTCCTTGGTCAGGTTGTGGAACCTGCGATCGGTGCTAAGCTCAGACATCCTCGGCAGCTGTGTCAACAAAAAGAGAAGGAAGGAAAAGGCAAACATGTTACCATCATTCCAGACTGTATCTCCATCACCCCCCCCCCCCCCCCCCCCCCCATCCCCGGAAAGTGAGCAGAGGGGTAAATCTACTGTTGCTAAGTAGCTCTTAAGTGCTAGGGAAAGCTTTAACAGCGCAAATAATAACAGTTGTTTGTTTTGTGTGTGTTGATAGATAGAAGGCATTTTCACACGGGCTGACTTCCCAGGAACTGCAAAACTGCAGAAATGATTTGTAAAGAGACATAAATGTTAAAAATGGACCCCTCCCCCCTTCCCGATACCACCATTACCTCTACCTCATTCTTAGGGTCATTATGGCACTGAGTGTCTCTGAGTCACCTTCTCATGGCACCTCGTACATGCTTTTCTTTCGTGGGCTTTGTAAGCTCACGCTTTGTCTAAAAGCTGCCCATTCACCGCTGTGCAATTACCGCCCCTTGCCTGCGGCCCGTGCCCAGAACCCAGGACTGTGCTCGAGACGTCAAGACCACATGTTCCAGGCACATTATTATTAATTCGCCCCGTCTCACGCTGGGGGTGTTCACTTTAGAAAAATGCATTAAATAAAGGGGTATATACACAAGGAAAGTTTTCCCAGCTTGGAGAAACAGCATAAGATTGATTAGGGGCAGTGGTTAAAAGCCGTAGGGGATGCAAGTTGGAAGAAAAGTTGTGTCAAAGCCCTGTAGCAGGTCCAGGGTGAATATTGCAACTGATCAAACATTACAGGTGTAACAACATCAACATTTATTACAGGGGAATAACAGCACGATCCCCTCAGCACAAAACCGGATGAACTGTATGATATATGGACATATGCGACTGCTGCTCATACATTTCACAGTGTAAAATTTGTTGACAAGGTCTCTTAAACTGTGAACTTCCTCCAGAGAAGAGTGAAAGAGCGATTCATGACACCCGTCGTCTCGGTGACATTGTAAAATACAAAAACATACTCAACACCTTGACTTGCAGCAGTGGATTCTCAAGCTGGTGTCAATGAGATTTGTCAATGAAACAAAACATTTCAGGAATGCTCTCAACTTCTATATAGTTTACTGTTTTGAACCATACCAAATGTACACTTCAAAAATTCGGTTTATTAGTGACCCAGATTAAATTTGCTGTTTTGGTAATGAAACATCACAATTCCTTTTTAAACATGTAAATCATATATTTATTTTCTGTTAAACTTAATTTTTATTTTTGATAGAGAATAGACAGATGGGACCAGACCACCACAGCACCGTATTTTCTTCATGGATGTCAGTGAGTGACCAAAAGCAGCAGAGGACTCGGCATTCAGACCGGGGACTTGGTCGCAAATCCATTACAGTGCATACTTACTTCCTCCAAGAACAGAGAGGAGAAAACAGGAAGATTACACCCATTATCTCTCTCGGCTCAGCACCGGACAAGTAGGCAATAATGCACTTTCTCCCAGAACCTGTTACGAGGTTCACAGCGGAAGCGTTTTGCATTTTTGCAACAGTTTCTGTCCGGATTTGAACGATCTCATGGCTGACTTCCACACCTGACCGGGATTTGGGAAGTTTACACCAACGGCCTTTCTGTCCACACTGAGGCGCAGCATGCCGCAGGCGACGTGCCAAAAAATCCCAAGGCAAAGTGGCTTTGGGTCTAAACCTCGTATGAGACTGCAAGAGTCTATTGCGTCTGTTTACTGCACACCAGATTGGGCTGGTAAACTGGCGTGGACCAGCAAAAAATGTGAGTATGGCCTGAAGTAGTATGAAATAAATATGGATTTTTATATATGCAAATGAATTTTTTTTTGTAGAATAGAAATATATCTATCAGTTAGACAAGGGTGTATCTTCAGCATATTTAAAAGTATACACGCAAAAACGAAATATTAGGACATATTGTGGTTAATTGCTCATATATCATATAATGTGACAGTAATATTGATGTTTAATAGAATATTTAAGGATTATTAATCTTGTCTTTATATTTTGCATGAAAGTGACTCATATGAAACACCTGAAGCTAAGCAGGGTTGGCTTGATTAGCAAGTGCCTGGGTGCATGAAAGATGGAAACAGTGGCAGAGGACCCTGTACTGACAAACTGAGGCCCTAACTTGTCAGTGGCTGACAAAGACCCTGCAGCACTTATGGGCCAGAGCAGGGGTGCCGATCCCAGTGCCCCTCCCCCCGCCACAGTGCTGTTCGGACCTTATCAGAAAAGCTGCCTAATCACACCCAGGAATGAAAACAGGCTGCTTAATTCCTCTCCTTATCTCTAAGAAACCTGGTGAATATTCTGATGCAACAAGGTTGCTGGGCACCACTCAGGTACCTGCTGGATTTTGCTGGCAATTAAGGTGTGATGTAACCCGAAAACAACATAAAGCACTATATAAACACCATTATGGTCATGAAAAAAATACACGAGACTACAAGCAGAGGCAGCGCCGATGGGTCATCATTTACAAGCTTATAACTGTAAATAACTCGCTCAATTTTTATTTTTGGTGCAGGCTTCTCTGCCGTGGAAAATCAACATGAAGGCAACCGAATCATGCCAAAAGTGTTCTTATAGTTCAACCATCTTCAGAAGGACGTTTAGCTCCACCTAACCCTTTTGATATGGGAGGGTAGTAGAAATACCTTATTTATAACGTATCAGGTGTGTGAGGAGAGAATCATTTATCTACATGCTATATGTGCATCCACAGTCATTATCCTATATATACATGTTCAACACACCAGATTAAAGTTTTGAACTGATACCACAACGCTACACAAATTTGCTTTAAGTTGTTTTCAAAGTATAATCTTTCGTATGGTTTGCATCATATATTTTCATATATTCATTTTCCAGTAATCACATATCAGGTGTATTGTATGCCTGCCCAAGGCACAATGTGTTTTTCAGGAACTCTTGCTATGTGTTCACTCTAGAACATTCTAAAAGCCTGCATTGCTGAACTTTTTCACCTTCCAGTCAGCTGAAGTTGGAGTTATTGTGGGTTTTGGTGCCCAGGTGCTGATGGGAAAGTGATGAAACATAAGCCTACATTTAGTTTGGGGCCTTCTGCGCGGGCCTCTCAATTATCACAAATAATGACACTGTAATTAGCACAATTATGTACAACAGCCGTCGTACTCAGACAAAAGCGACAAATAACACAGCTAGCTACAGTGGCACGGGATACTGAGGAAACTGTCAGCAGTATTTATGTAAATGAAAATTAGTTTGTTTATTGGGGGGGGATTGGGAAGAACATTGTCATTCTCAACAAAGGCGCAAGAAAGTATACGACCACAAATGGGATATGCAGAAAGTATGAGCCAAAAAAAATGATGGACTGAATTTACGTAAATACCCAATTTAAGCATCGGCCTCCTACCCTTTTGATGTAGCATCAGCACAATAATATGTATTATGCGTGATGTCTTGGCTTCACTCCCTGTAGCAGCTCATTAACTTGAAACAAAAGCCAATCAATGTCCTTATTTTTCCAGTTTAACCTACTACGCAGATGTTCATTGTAATCGGTGAGTCCATAATAGGGACGAACGCTGTCAGTCAGCCGCAACTAATTTATTTTCTATACTTGTTGAAATTAATCTATGATTTTACAACTGGGCAACATACAATTACATTACATTACAATCAAACTCAATTTACTGATATCATGAAATGGGGCTATTTAATTATTCTGGCACATTTGTTTATGTAAACAGATAACTATTAATGGAATGCAGACTCACACACGCATGCACATATATATAAATATATACATACATGTATATGTGTGTGTTTGTGTGTATCAATGATATTACTAAATTCGTTTTTCCATTACGTAGGGGCATTGTGGCTAATCTGAACACAACTTTAATTCTCATTAGCGGTTTATACATTTAATGCATAAAGTTTATTTTCTCAAAACACTGATCTCAATCAAAGCATGAACTATTTTTCTGATAGCTTTTGTACAGGAAAATGTCTAGGGGCTGGTGAATCACAACACTTTTGAGAACAATAATGTTACTAATACACTCCACAATTGAAACAACGGCATATACAATTTGCAAATTCTTGTCCAAGAGCACTATGTACTGCTTTGTTACACTTTAGTAATAAGTCAAAGGTAAGTAATCTTAAATTATTTATTGTTTATATTCACGTGTGCGTGCGTGTTTTTATTTAATAGAGTGTTTGTTTACGCTTCATTTCTGTGTCCCGCAGCCTTTTTCTCGGTTCTGAGGTTCTAACAGAAGATGCTCGGTACAGAAATACAATCACCCACAAAGTGCATCTGATCGTGATAATGCTTTGGAGTTCATTCCCTGGAAAGAAAGTGCCTTCGAAAGAGAGATACGTGGCCATGACCCAGAGAATGAACGGCAGAATGTGTGAATGATCTTGAACGTAAAACAAAAAAAAAAATATGTATGAATGGTTTGAGAAGCAGGATTGCGTCAAATTCAGATCAGAATTGTGAGAAGGGTGTGCCAAGAGGCACATTTCAGCAAGTTTGCACGTGGCGCTAGGGATACGTGCCAAACACAATACTGAAACCCCCGCCACACAGACCGGGCTAATCACTGCAGATACATAACGACTAAGAGATCACGGTCTTTGTTAAAAAGATTACAGACAACAGCCCAGCGGGTCGTCGACAGTGGAAATGTGGCGATGCTGCAGGATTTTAGCCTACCTCCCATACCGCTTCCCTCCCCTCCCCTTCCTCGCTCGCTCACTCTCCCGCAAACAAGCCTGTGTGAGTCATAGCTGGAAAAAAACTGCACCCCGATGCGCTTCTCCACCTGATTTTTTTTCATTATCTTTATATGAATAGACAGAGGTTGAAAAACCAGAAGTCATTTATGTGCAGCTTTTAAATTAATTACTTCCAGTGTATGACAGTACGAGGTAGTCCAATAATTCAGCAGAAACACGGAACTCAGATGTTTGTTATCCCCGTGTCTGACGATAGACCGCCAACTTCATCATAGCTTACAAAAGCTTTAAGATTTGTTTTTCGTCACTAGAAAGGAAAGCGTGCACTGCTTAGGTAAAAAAATGAATATGCTTGAAGACCGGAAAGCACGTTTACCTCACAACTATCAACTGTATATGGATATGGTAAAAAGCACACGTACGCAAATGCATTCACAAAATGGTTTGATGTCACCCGGAACATTGCAATTCATTACAGTCGATCTTTATCGTCACAGAAGTGTCAAGTGCACTGCCTCTCTATAATCTAGGAATTAAATGAATTTAAACTACATCAGTACGTAGCCTATATTCATTCAATACCAGTTGATATCACGATTACAAGTCTTCTTTACATCCCTTCCCCACAACAATTAAAGACCATGACTAGTGAAGACATTAAGCCACGTACAAAAGAAGAAAATGTTCTGCTAATGCACTTAAATTCAATATCTTGTACTTAGCACAACACACCTGTACATGCGACGATACGAGATGGTGAGCATATATATATATATATATATATATATATATATATATATATATATATATACACACACACACACACACACACACAATCACATATATACATATCTATGACTGAACACTGGCATACTATATGTATACTTTACATGTAAAAACTTTTTTATATAAAGTGTTCCAGGCAGCACTATATCTAAGCATGATTTCAGATGTCAGACTGATTAAATGGAGTTTATTTGTTCTGACTGATTTGAGATAGTCTAGAGATGTCAGTAGGCTAATGTGCATCGTCTTTGTTCCAGGTTAATACGCAAAACTCTTCTTTGAATTGTTGTTTTGGTTGCCGGTATTACTGTAGAAAAATAAATGGCAGTATGGACACATATTTTGTTTTTAGTTCTCTTTCGCAAGTCATCGTGCATTTTAGTTAATAAGAAGGTTGACACAAAACGCATCAAACTGTGACGCAAACTTATTGATCATCGCTAGGTCAAGTCATTCGTCAGAGAACTAGCTGCATGCCGTCACGTTAGAGTACATCATGAAAACTAGATTTAAAAAGGTATTTCTGAGGGACGCTTAACTGTAGTTATAGTTTCCTGGTTAAACAGGTAAAATAACTAACTCACCCAAATGACCAGGGAACCGAAATCGCTGCAAGCCAGTCTACGTTGATTTACAGTTGATAAGATCCAGTACCGTTTTTACGGTCAGCAGGCTCTTCTCTGCTCGCATTCAGGAAAAAACGGGAAAGAAGTCGGAGTTTAGTGCGTAGTCGCTGTCCAGGCTGAGCGTAGTGCTGAAATGAAACTCCTAAATATCTCGCACTGTTTTCTCGCAGTGCCTGTAGCGTAAACCAGTTTCCATGGTAACGTGGCGTCACAATTTTAAGGTAGACCACACAGCACAGACAAGCTTTAGCTCTGGGACAAATCCAAAGAAGAGACAAATGTAAACATATTGTGGAGTATGTCCATGCACGACCCAACATTATATAACGTGCAGTATATGCATCTGATAATGATGTCAAACTGTCAATTGTCCACGGTTTGCACATTACTTTTAATACAAGCTCGATCATGTTCTAGAAATTTGCAAGTAGGGAAATTAATACTTGAAAATCTGTAAAATGATTTCTCAAGCTCAGAAGAAGTGAGAAAAATAGTTATTCACTGGCTATTAACATCTTTAACACTATATTCCAATTGCTGTTCTAATGACAACACAAATAGATGTACTCACATTGTGTTTTAGATGCTTCTTATTGAGTATGCAGGCTTACCTCCATCTTAATGCCATTCTATGGATTAAATTTTGAATCATAAACACAGAAACAAATTAAGCCATGCTAAGCTGACAATCTGCTTGATTGTTGCAGGTTGAAATCCTGCAAGCGGTGAGCAGACTGAATGAGTGTCCTGTCATGGTGGCAAACGAGGCCAAAAGCACGTTATCAGTTCATCAGGTTCACAGACACAACAGCTTCCCAGGTGAACAAACTATTTCAATGACTTTTGACAAATAATCTGTACAGTTGTCATTCTCTAGGCGACTTCCATGGGCTTAGAGATCCTGAATGCAAGTGTACAGACAACAACAGCAAGACAGCCCACCAGTTCAAAAAGGCAATAATAGTTTTATAGATAAACCAAACTCTAAAACTCAGCTGCAATGCACTGGAGACTGCGTATGCAGTTTCCAAAGTCGATGGTAACAAATTCCCCAGAGATCCGCTCTCAGTCATTGTTAAAAGCTATCAATGACGCAAAGCCAAATGCTGATTACTGGTTAATGTACATACATGCCAATGAAGAGTGAAGGGCAAATGATTAATCTACAGGAACAGGTTTACTTATTAACAATTGTACAAGCCTGACAACATATAATCAATACAAGGTAGAGATCTTACTGGATCAGCTCTCCTCTTTAAAATTGTCTATACATCGTGCAATGCTATTATTTAAACTTGACTCTTTTAACCATGAAATTTATGGTCATTTCAGGTTAGATTTTACAGATTTAGCCTTTTTCAATTTCCTCCTAGATAGCAATCTGACCATCGATCCATGACTTCCTGTGGTGAATTGTTCTAAAACCTTTGTCTTTAAAAGGTAGCTGTCCAGTCATTTTAACTGGACACAGATTATGAACCCCAAAGACAACTGAAATAACAGACATTACTCATCAATTCCTGAAGAATGGAATACTGTCATCAGTGTATTAAAGGCATACACGCTCTGTCCTGCAAGGCTGCTTGGTCTGCTCTGAGGCTGCATTGGTAAAAATGACAGGGGCTTGTTGCAATCTGGATTGTATGATTTACCGTATTCGCTGTGTATATTCTGCTATGTGTCTTTTTGTGATGCTGAGTTAAACCCTTTAAATCATGACATAGCAATGGCTCACATATAGCCCTATGTATTTTTTTCTATGATGTTGGGTAGAAACATTTTGGAGGAAGTCTCTGCAGGAAAGTGGTCAGTATGTATGCATTAACTTATTTTGTGGTTATTTAAGGGTATTGGAAATGTGTGGGTTTAACTTAGAAGCCTCATCCTACATACACATCAATTTTGTTTAATCACCAATATAACAAACAGAAATCAATAAGGATACTGGTAATTCTTAGAGCAAACCCTGTCTATAAATATGTGTTTGCCTGTGTGTGTGTGTGTGTGTGTGTATTTACCATCGAAATACCAGTTTAACAGGATATTAGTTATTTGCAAAGCGTATAAAACGTCTGTCTTTTGTTGAAATAAATTATACCACAAACAAGGTTCAAGCCATTCATTAAATGTTAATGGGAGCCTGAAATAGTAATTTCTTCGTCCGTCTAGATAGATATAGTCACAGAATTGTGGAGTGTCGAGTGGGACTGGCAGGCTGGACGGACCCAGGGAGATGCTGCGCAAGCTGCGGCGATACAGCCACACTGAATATCATATCAAGCAGCCGGTGACTCATCCCTCTCAGCTCCCGTGATGTAGAAACGCAAACCTAATCATCAATCAAAAGCGCTCTCCGTCAGCACGGCACTTTGCTCTAGTCACAATCATGCTCATTGCCCATAGGTATCCCCACAACCCACTCCCACGCACGCAGACATGCACACACGCCAGGCGTGACGGGTCCAGTACGTGGGTGAAAATAGAGTAGGTACAAACGGTATTTTATGTGACCAGTATCTTCGGAGCAGGTCGAGGCTTTAGCGATAAACTTTATTTGTGCTCGGCACATTAAGATGCGCTTGCTATTTTAACGATCACTGTGAATTGTACGTGAACTGAAATTCAGAAAAACAGTCATCTCAAGTGGCATTTATTTCTTAAATGTCCCGTTAATGTAAGTACGTTATATGGTTCCTTTAAACTTATCATCTTTGCCGTGAAGCATAACGTTTTTATTTCTAGTTATACACTACCACCTTTTTCATTTTTATTAACGTTTATTAGACGTTACTCAGTCTAAAATATTCGCCATGTGAATCCCACATTAAGAGGTAGGTAGCCGTTAAAATTACAGATCCTAACATGTTGCGAAATGATAGGCTGGTAGGCTTTCACAGAGATGGGAGGAAAAATGTTTCCCTTAAGCAGATGTTCTAGATAAAAGGTCAATCAACTCGTTCCCAAAATAAAATATTGACGTCACTAAATTTGTTCCGTAACGAACTACAAAGTCTAAAAAAAATCCATGCGCACCTTTCCTCCCCTCCCTCGAACTGGGTAGTAGTTATGACGTCGTCAAAGAACGACGCCTATAGGGGCGGGGCCACGTGACGACACAATGGCGGCGGCGTGTAGCCGGAAGTGTTGATTCGGAAAAGAAGAGTGAAGCATCGCAGGGGGGAAGCGAATGAAAGTCGGGAAGCGTCGTTTCTCACACGCACGCAGAAATTTAGGCTTAGGAGCTCCGAGCGAGCCCCAGCAAAGACGAAAATCATGTCGAATATGGAAAGTATCCTTTTCAAAAGGGGCCGGGAGACACAGTTAGCATGTTAGCCGGAGTCTCTAGGCCTACTGCAGCATTGAGTAAAGAAAGCCGGCTTGCAGCTTAGTCATGTCCGATATGTTGGAGACGCTTTATTTTCGGTACGCTTTACTTAAATGACTTAAGACAGGATATCCAGGAGATCATCGCTCGGCCTGTAATTAGGTTAGTTAAACGTTATGTACTGTTTAATGTATCTTCGTCAAAGGGCTGACAACAATATTAGCTGATCGTATGACATCAGTGGATACATTGAGAAGACCGTTATGTCCTGAAATGTATTACAATGGAAAACGTTGCGTAAAGCTTCGCAGCTAACGAGTAATTACACACTGGATTATTAAGATAAATGGAGCGTAATTGTCAGGCCAGGGCTGATGACGCCTTTTGCCTGAGAGGTTCACTGTAATTATTACGTGTATAACTAGAGTCCCTTTGTAGACTGTTTCACAAGGATGCCAGGAGACGCATATTTTCCATTTATAAACATACGAAGCACATTCAACTGTTGATCTCGATGTGCCCAGTAATCCATAGTTGCCTCGTCAGTCGTGTGTCACCGCAGTGTGTCCTGCACTAAGCTTTCCCTCCACATTTCGGTGAGGTACAAACTGCCAACTTCCGAATCAGTGTTTGTCTTTAGACAAACCCCCTTTAACACTCATTCTAGATGGCTGGCCCATTACTGTGTTTTGGTTAAGGTCCAGATAGGGAACGACGAATGGGATTTTGATCTAGTCTAGTACCAGCGCACGTTCCTTAACTAGAGGGCGACGGGATTATTAATCAATAAATCCAGCATTATAGCAAAGTGTCATGTTTTGTATGTATCTACGTGATGTGCCGGGTTAGGTTTTTGTCTTGGACATGCTGTGTTGTTGATCTCCCTGACCTCCGATCTCAGAACATTTGTTCAACCTCAAGTTTGCCGCCAAGGAGCTACAGCGAAACTCGAAAAAGTGCGACAAAGAGGAGAAGACTGAGAAAGCCAAAGTGAAGAAGGTAGGTGGGGGGGCTGGCAGCTGTGGCAATGGGGTGGGGGGGCATTATGGACAGGGGTGGGATTAAATCAGCTCCCCCGTCCCTGGGTGTTCAGGCCATTCAGAAAGGCAACATGGAGGTGGCCCGGATACATGCAGAGAAC